TCAGTACCTCAAATTGTCTCTTCTGGCTTAAAGACTACATTAAACATTGACTAACAAGATGAAAAGTGACTTGTATTTATAATAATATTCCCCTTATATTTTGCAAGTAAAATTTTTGGACTGATGACTGAAGAGTATGATCAGTGAAGTTTTCTTTAGTTTAATTTTCAAGCTATGAGAGTTTTCTTAAGGAGAAGTTGTAGTGGGTGTAAATATTTTGAGTGATTTTGAATAAGAGAGTGAAAATATGGTAACTATAGACTGTTGAATATTGTATTTTAGAAGGTTTACTGCATTGCAGAGTACATACTGATTACATAAAGAAGGCATTTCTAACTTGGCTACATAAAAGTGAAATTTTAGTGAATGATTTCAGACAGTTTTATAGTTCAAATCAATAGCATAATTTCCCACTTGAGAGCTAAACAAACCTGAATTCTCAAAGATAGGGCAGAGACCAAATGTAGATATTTAGCCTGCTGATTTTATTCAAGTAGTTGGATTTCTATAAAAGCATAACTTAAATTCACTTACCATTCTTCTAACATCTGCACAATAACATCCACATCTGGAATCCAGATCATATACACAGGCCTTATAAGAGTTGTAAGTTGATTTTTGTAGGGGGGAAAAGAGGAGGTTGGTTGTTTTTTAGGTCATTGATCTCTCCTTTCTAGCAAAGCTACATCAAATATAATGATTAATTTCCTGGCTCAGATTAACCACACACATGATTGTAGAATTAAGAGAATACACTAGTTTATTTTTAGGTTGTAATGAAGCATTACTTCATATTAGAAGTTGGGGTTTCAACTATGATTTGAATCAGGCACAGTACCCAATATATTATTCTCAATCTGGAATATTCTCTGGAAAGTGGAAGGGTGGGAAATATGATCTAGTTTTCTGCATAAGGAAAGATTGGGTAACTTTTTTTTTCCAGCCTTGCAAGTCTGGTTCAGTGTTGGTGTACAAACTCAACAAAAACCAAAACCATCTGAAATGTAAAAAGTACAGATCTAAGCACCAGATATGGCATTTAACCCCTTAGTCAGCTAGAAATTATTGACAGTGGTAAGAAATTCAAGGTTAAGAAGGGAGTGGAGGTAAAATTAGGTCTTGGGGAGAATCAAAAAGAGGAGGTACACAGTCCATGCCAGGATTGAACTGCTCTGCATCCCTCCTTTGCCTTGTAGATGTGACTTGTTGGATTAGTCAAGTGGAAGAAAAGTGTGTGTATGTATTTGGACGATAGCAAGGAGGGACAGTATTGTCTGTAGGTAATCATTTAAGTTGTATAAGAAAAAATCACACTACTGTAGAATATGTAGTTCTACCCCTTCACTGCCCCTTGCTTCTCCTACTACTTGAAATTCCCTTATTACCTATCCTCTGGAAAAAACAGTTATTGAAAATAATTATTCAAATGCAAATGTGTACTAGGAGAAAATAAGGATAGCCACACTTTTTTATTATAGCTCTTTGTGTACAGCAAAAGATTGTATATTTGCTGTCCAAAAACCAGTGTAGCTGAGTTTAGAGAGGCTTATCACCAGGTTGACAAATGGGGTTGTGATCTCATTGAGTTGAAGGTTCTCTCCAAAGTCACAAATCACAACCCATCCATCCAAGGACATCTGATTCAGTGTGATTCTTGTCCATATCATTCCATAAATTCTCAACATAAGGTTTACCCAACATGATGAGGCTTTCCTTGCTTTCTCCTGTTATCTTAATGATGCCAATGGAGTACTCTGGCTGTCCACCTGTCATCTCTTGCCTTTGCTATGTAACCAGCCCATGCTCTCTTCCTGTCATGTAATTCCTTGATGACATTTTTTGTTCTTGTTCTTATTCTTTATTGGTCAAGTCAACATGCATTTATTAAGTCAAGTCAACAAGAATTTACTAAGCACTTACTGTATACCAGGCACATAGTAAAAAAAAAAAAAAAAGCTCTGAGGGTACAAGTAAAATGAAAGACAGTCAGTCCATGCCCTCAATGAACTTACATTTTAATTGGACGTAAAAGGGAGCTAGAAGTGAGGACAAAGGAACCCATGGAGGCAAGTTATGGTGGTGAACTCTAGAGAATGAAATATGGCTGGTCTGGGCCCTTTCTCAAAGTGGAAGTCCTAGGAGAAACTCACCAGTTGATTATATGTTGCAGCTTGCTTACATCCACCATGAATTTTTCCATTACCCTCTTTGTGATGCTTATTTTTAATTTCTTGAGGACTGTTTTATTCTGTGTCTCACTGTTATACAGCAACATTGGTAGAGTGTTGCTATTAAAAGGATAGGCCTTTGTTTCTGTAGTAAGATTGGGTTCATTAACAGAGTTTTGTGATTCCCCCAAAGCAATCCAGACTACTCTCCTCCTTCTGTTTACCTTTGGGCCTAATTCATTGCCATTATATACTATCTGTCCTAGATACGCGTATCTTATGATATTGTCCTTCTAAATGCATGCTGTAGTCTGGGCATTAGGCATTCTTAATCTGTTGTTCTTTCCCATGTAGATAGTTAGGCACAGTTTCTTTGAATGATTACAGATTTATTTCAGGAGACTGTGCAGTATTCTGGAGCTTGACACAATTAGTAAAATGCCATTTGCAGATGGGGACATCTGGAAGACCTCCCCATTTATTGGGAATCCTTCTTCAGCTTGGAATATGAGCTGAATTTCCTGTGGTGAGCAATTTTTTGAGCATATATCTCTTTTTTATGCCTTGCCTAATATTTGTGCCTGAAAGTCTAAAGATTATTGAACAGGGTTATATATGCTAGCCATAGAATGATGACATTTTTGGCCACAGCAACAGATGAAGGCCATCTGTTAGGGTGTGGAGGTGCTGTAATCTGCATTGATGAACATAGTACCTACACTGACAAAGTCATGTATCTTAAAGTATTGGTGTTATTGATATACATTTCTTTATCCTTTTCATCATCTCCTGTTAAACTTTAAGCTGTTTGACAACAAGGGCTGGGTGTGATTTATCTTTGTCTCTCTCAGCACCTTGAAGTCTCTCAGCACTCTCTACGTAGACATTTAATACACATTTATAGAATGAGCAAACAAACGATGTTGAAGAATAAATGGATGTGCACCAAAGCCAAACAAAGCTATGGATTTCAAAGACTGAAGAAGATGAAACTAGAAATAAAACAGACCATTGGAAAAGGAAAAGACATAGCAAATGTGAATAGAATATAAGAAAGCAAGGTAGTAATCTCCTTGAGAACCAGGACTATCTTGTTTTTGTCTGTCTCTAGCATCAAGCACAGTAGCTGACATCTATTGCAGTGGCCTTCTAATTTGTCTTCTTACTTAGAGTCATTTCACTCTTCAAAATATCTTGAACACAACTGCTCAAGTGATTTTCCTCAGTCATAGATCTGGCCATGACACTCCCTTACTCAATCGATTACAGTGGCTCCCAGTTGCCTCTAGGATCAAATACAAACTCCTTGCTTTGCCTTGAAGGCTCTTTACAAACTAGTCATGTTATTCATCTTCCTATTCTCGCTAGTCAAGCCACGCTGGTCTTCTCTCTCTTCCTTATACAGGGCACTCTACTTCCCATCCCTGTGCCTTTGCATTGGCCATCTTCCATGCCTGGAGTTCACTGTCTTCTCATGTTTACCTCAAAGAATCCTTAATTTCCTTCAAAATTCAGCTCAAGTACTACCATATAAAAGAACCATCCCTGATTTCTCTCAACTTTGCTCTCCTTCGTTATCTACATTGTATTTAACTCCTTCCTATTTATTTTTTATTATTCCACATATATTTATTCTGTATCTACATATGCATGTATATTTTATATATAAGCTATGTACATGTAATTTTCATTATTAAATTTGAATTGCTTGGAGATGTAATATTTTAATGTTTAATATGAGTTAACGTTAATAAGGCATAAAGCAGACAAACATATGCTTGCCTAAGGGAATCATGGAAGGATGTTCTGAATAATGAATTAGGCTTAGAATTAAACAGAAAGATGAGATTGAGCCAATTTGCATATGAGAAACTGTACTTTCAATGATTCTCTATTACTCTGCTGCAAAAACCTTTAATATCCTTTTAATATCCTCCTTTATTGAAATACGGTATATTACAGTAGATCGTAACTCACTGATGTGGCAATATAATCAGGAAGATCTGGGATCAAGTCTTTACTCCGATAAATACTCTGTGACCATGGGCAAGTTACTTAACCTTTTGGTGTTCCAACCAGTTCTCTTAAGTTCATAAATCACTAATGGACTGCCTTGTCTAAATCAGGACAAAAAAAAAATCAAGACTTCCAAAAAGGAAGTCACCAAGCTGGTGAAGTCAAAGATCTGGTTTTTAAAAGTCTTCTCATGGTGCTATGTAGATAAAAGTCATGGAGAACTAGTAGATTAGAAGAATCAAAATTTCAGTGACCCATAGGGCCATGAAAAGACACATGGCAGGAGTAAGTACCTTGCAGCATATGACCAATAATAATTTACTCAAAAGATATGGGCATAAAAGAGACAGTCAAGGTGAGTTAGTCATGTAATAGGAATAGGTGGTAGGTGAATAGGTTGTTTGTGTCTATGGTACTAAAATATTAAAAGAACCAATGGAAGGCTTCTAGCATGTTGGGTAGATTCTTTATGAAAGATTTATGGAAAAGACAGGAGCAAGAATTGCACAAAATGAGAAGCAACAGGTTTGTTGTCACCTGCCCAGTTAGAAGAAGTACATACTCTGATAAGTTCATAAATCCATCAAAGTACTGAGGTAAAAGCAATTATTCAGTTAGTCAATAAATATTTATTAAGTGCCTCCTATGTGCCAGAGACTTATATGTAATAAAAGTTACATTTACTTCGAATATAATCCTGAGCCAAGTTTCCCTTCTCTCCAAGTTTACATAGATTAAACTATTACCAGCTTATTGAAAATATATATTCCAGAAGCTTGAACTCATAAAAATTTTATTTTTATTAAATATTTTCAGGCTTTGATATCACTCTCCAGTCATAAAAAGTTAAAAAAAAACTTACTATTTCTGAGTGTGAATTTATCACAGATTCAGGGATTAAGGTAAGGTAATTAAGATTCATTATTACAAATTCAAAAACAAAATCATTTTAGCTAGGTAGGAGTCATTGTGGTGCAGTGGAGAATATTGTATTAGGAGTCTTAAGGGACCTGAATTTTAGTCCTAGTGCTGCCATTAAGTGGCATTAAATGATTGTGGATAAGTCATTTAACCTCCCTCACCCCCACCTTCTTCATTTTTAAAGTGAAGCTTTTCTAAATAATTTTTAAGTTATTTTGCAGCACCAAAATTCCATGAATACAATTAGATCTAAAAACCACCACCAACAACAAAACAAGTGCATTAACTAGTATTTAGTACATTTAAACCATCCATTCCAAAGGATAATTTGGGAGTGAGACTGTCCCTACTATGTTCCTTCATGTGTCCCAAGGTTATGTTGCCTGTCAATGTACTAGGTGTAGATAGAGCACCAGAATGGAATGAAATGTATTCCATAGTTCCGAAGGAATTCAGAGAAAAAATTATTTGAATTTTTGGTCAAAATGTGTAACCTGGCAGATTGCCAACATGTCTGTGAGGAAATCATTACATTTTAAAAGCAATTTATGTTTTATTATGTTTGAAATGTATGATAACATTAAAAAGAAAAAGGTAACCCCATTAAGAACTCTCCCTTAGGAAATAGGTTAGGGATCCTTGTTTTTCAAATATATAGAGAACTGAGCCAAATTTATAAAAATAAAAGACATTCCCCAATTCATAAATGGTCACAGAATATTAACAATTTTCAGAAGAAATCAAAGCTATCAATTGTCATATGAAAAAAATGTTCTAAACCACTAATAGTTAGAGAAATGCAAATTAAAACAATTCTGAGGTACCACCCCACAACCATTAGATTAGGTAACATGACAGAAAAGGAAAATGATAAATGTTAGAGGGGAATGTGGAAAAATAGTTATACTAATACATAGTGAAGTGGTCTAACCATTCTGGAGAACAATTTGGAACTACGCCCAAATGGCTATAAAATTCTTCATACCCAGCAATACCACTATTAGGTCATCACTCCAAAGAGATCAAAGTAAAAGAACCCATAAGGACACAAATATTTGTAGCCACTCTTTTTGTGGTGGCAAAGAATTGGAAATTGAGGGGATGTCCCTCAACTGCGGAATGACTGAACAAGGTGTGATACATGAATGTGATGAATGCTATTCTGCTTAAGAAATGATGAAGGAGGTGGTTTCAGAAGAACCTGCGAAGACTTACATGAACTGATGCAAATTGGAGTGAGAAGAACCAGGAGAACATTGTACACAGTAACATCAATATGATCAAATATGAAAGACTCAGCTATTCCAGTCAGTATAGTGATCCATGAAACTCCATGAGATTCATGATGAAAAAGGTTATCCACTTCCAGAGATAACTAATGGTATCATAATCCAGATCAAAGCATATTTTTTTCCTTTATTTTTCTTGCCTCCCCCCTCAACCCTGCCAAACATGGCTAATGCAGAAGTATATTTCACATGACCTTCATATGTATAATGGATATATTTCTTGCCTTTTCAATGGGTGGGAGAAGGGTGGAGGGAAAGGAGAGAATTTGAAGCTGAAAATAAAAGTTTAAAAAATTTTAAAAAGAGAAAGAAATGGATTAGTGTAAATCATACTAATCTAATAACACATCATTGCCATCTAATGGCAGCTTTCCTAAATTACAGACACAAGATTTCTGGAGAATCCTGATCAGCCTTTGAGGGGCATAATTGACAGATCTCATGTAAAATAACACGTGTCTCACACTTCTATCCATAAGGAAGTATCTAGAGGGATCAAGAGAATTACAGATCTTATATGTTTTCTCCCTCATTAGAATGTGAGCTCTTAGAAAGAAGGGACAATCTTATTTTTCTAATTGTATCCCTAGCATTTAACATAGTGTTTTACACATAGTAAGCATTTAATAAATGTCATTTTCATTAATTCAATATTTTAAGGTTTAAAAATATTAAAACAATTTAGAATTTTGAAAACTTTTTTGATTCTTCTTAGAAAATAATCAGTCATTTCCCAATTACCACTCCCCTCCCCACACACCCAAAGAGGTATGTATAGTTATGCAAAATTTACACACTGATCACTGAATCTCACTTCTATATTGGGAAATATGGTTAAATCTCTAATAGAAGATAGGAATGTCAAACATTTAAACAACATGATACTGTGGGAAGAACACTAGTCTCAGAGCCAGAAGACTCTGATACCAGTCTCAGATTTTGAGGCTAATAATATTTGTGACATCTATCTCAGAAAGTTGGGTTTGTTTGTCTACTGTATTTGTGATTTTTTTTTTCTTTGAGACTGGGGCACTTATCACTAAGAAGTACAGCAGTCATTCATAGGCTCAATTGTACACCTGATTGGCTTAGGAACATTGACTTGCACCATTTTGCCCCTCCTTATATAGCACATTGACCCCACTATTGAGGGTTCACCATATTGGTGTAGGACAAGAGCAGACATCCACTGAAGCTCAGGGATGGAATGAGGGAGCCACAGACATTTCTTTGTGTTCTCTTTCCTAGGGTAATAGACCAGGCAGGGTGTTTTAATTATAAGGCTTTTTAGTGGGCACTGTATCTGTATTACTATATCTATGATTTTTTTTTTCAGGCCATGTCTCGCTTAGCCTGTTAGTACAGCAGTCACTTATAGGCCCAATCCCACACCTGACTGGCATAGGAGATTTGACCTACTCCGTTGTTTACCTGGGTATTCTTTTCCTCCTTAGTTAACATTAGACCCTGCTATCGGGGGCTTACCATTTTGGTGCAGGACATAGAGCAGACACCCAACTGTTTTAACCCACTATAGCTCATAACTCTTAAGCTCAAAAGATCCACCAGCCTCAGCAGTCTCCTTGGTAGCAGGGATACTTCAGGTGTGCACAAGTATTCAATATCACATCACTTTTTCCTAATGAAAAGAGAAGCACCAGGAGAAGAGACTACTAGTAAAGACTTTTATTTTAACAACCCAAATCTGCTGAGACAGACCAGAGAGAGGGAAGGACACAAGGAGAGTGTTTATGTGTTTGGGTGAAAGGAGTTAAGCTGAAGGGAATTTGGATTGTGAAGTGGGGTTATTTGGAGGGCCTTGGGAGAGCTAAAGGGAAATATAAGGGCAATGAAGAGGGGTACTAGGAACATTAATCTTTTTTTATTATCACTTTGTATTTATTCAAAACAAGCCAAACAAAACAAAACTCAGTATTGTGGACTCAAGTGAGGGAAGTGTGTCACCATTAAAGATCCTGCTCTGTACAATGAAATAGACTGATACAACAACATCTGTATGTCAAGATTTATGCCGTTAAACAACTGGTTAATGGGGACCCAGACCAGCTTTCAATCCAATGCTTTAATCTGATAAACCCAACACACTTCCTTTATATTTGCTTTTTTAAGTTTAGAAAACTAATAACATAAACAAAAATACATATTTACAACAACATGAACATTCACTGGTTCTAGCATTGGAGGACTTCAGAGCAAATCCCTCATCTGATGCTTATTACCCATTTGACCGTAGCAAGTCATTTAATCTCCTTGGGCTTTAATATTTTTATTTTATGTAAAATGAGGAGGTTGGACTAGATGATCTCTAAGGACCTTTCCAGGTCTGGATCTGCGATTTCCTGTTAACTATTACAGATGCCATAGACCTCAGACTGTAGTAATAACTATTCATAGTAGAGCTATGAAATCATACCAGGTAAGACCTCTTCGGGACAAAACACAATAGTCCTTCCTTGTGTGTCTATTTGTGTTTCCCTCTGTCCTGTATATTTATGCAGTCTCAAAGTGGTTATAACTATAAGTTGTCTTAAGGAATAGCATTTCTCATCAAATTAGACTTGTAGGGGAGAACCAACGTGGTCTGTCAATATTTAGAGATAGTGAAGGTTCTGTGTCCATTTATGAACCACATATAAGTTGGACAGTAGGCTGAATTCTGCCATGGTTTTAATATTTAATCAGGTGTCACAGGGAGTTACACACAGAGTATTAAGCATTTAACAAATACTAGCAGTGTTAAGTGAATAGAGAAGGAAAATACAGGATGAGATAGATGACATACTAAAGTGTAAAGAACACTTTGTGTTCTTGTTTACTAGAAGGATTACAGTTTATATTTTTTTTCTGAGATGAACCTTCAATTTTTCTTCTTCCAGAGCTATAGTGGAAAGTTTCCTATAAGTGGCAACTATTTTTAATAATGATAACTTGTTACATAAGGAAATTTCATGAGCAACATAACTAGTTAGCATAATCAGTCCTTTTGTCCTGCCTCACCATATAAGACTCTTCAGCATGTAAATATGTTTTAATTTTTTTCTTATTATGAGGTCTAGTAAATGAAGGGTAGGAGAATGAGAGGAAAAGAAAAAAGGGATAATTTTTTGTCATTCTATATTGGGATTTATATAAGAAAAGGGAAGGAAATGCAATAGGAGGTTTAAGTGGAAATTTTAGATTATCCATGATTTATCTGTTGTTTCCTTGCTTTTATTTATTTCAGTAAAGTGATGATTATAGGAAGATTGGCATGTTTTAAAACAAGCATTTGAGAAAAGAAATTTAACAAAATTAATTTTTTTCAGAATTAAGATAAATAATAATTGCAAAACATAACCAAGGGGAAAGTATTCAACAATCATGAAAATAATAAAAAGTTACTTTATTTCAGTGTTTCACTAGAAACCACCGAACATGAAGATGAAGTGTCTAGAGACTCAGATTTATTGACTTTTAGAATCTGGTTTTAATTACTCTCGGTGATTTCAGTTCCCATTTCTTGCAGATATTTAGATATGCAGTTTGCCTAAACTCATTTTGCTCTTCTGGGAGGCATACTTTTTCAATAAAAATGTTCAATAGTAAAGTGATTGAGTATTTTTCTTGAGAATCCATTTTCTTGAGCTACTTGCCAATTTAATTATCAAAATGCCAGATTTGGAAAGATTCAG